AGTAAGGATATTTTGTTTTTGGCTGCTGTGGTTGTTGAGTAGAGACGGCGACAAGTAGCGCGGTTAGTTGCGAGCTCGATCCCTGTAATGGGAACTTATTTTATTTTATGCTACTCTCTTAATTAGGATTTTTATTTTTCAGAAGGAGTTATTGGTGTGGCTGTTGTGTAGAGGCGGTGGCAGAGATGTTGTCTGTCACGAGTTCGAGACCTGTCGGGGAGAGGATATTTTGTTTTGTGGCTGTTGAGTAGAGATGGCGACAAGCAGTGCGGTTAGTTGCGAGTTCGATCCCTGCTCTTTGGAACTTATTTTGTTTGTTGTGCTACTTCTTCTCTTTGATTCAGAGTTATTGGTGTAGCTGTTGTGTAGAGTCGGTGAAAGAGATGTTGCCTGTCACGAGTTCGAGACCTGTGGGGGAGAGGATATTTTGTTTTTGGCTGCTGTGGCTGTTGAGGAGAGACGGTGACAAGTAGCGCGGTTAGTTGCGAACTCGATCCTTGCCATGGGAACTTATTTTATTTGATGCTACTCTTTTAATTAGTATTTTTATCTTTGATAAGGAGTTATTGGTGTGGCTGTTGTGTAGGGGCGGTGCTCGAGGTGTTGTCTGTCACGGGTTCGAGAGCTGTCGAAGGACGGGTATTTTGTTTTTGGCTGCTGTGGCTGTTGAGGAGAGACGGTGACAAGTGGCGCGGTTAGTTGCGAGCTCGATCCCTGCCATGGGAACTTATTTTATTTGATGCTACTCTCTTAATTAGTATTTTTATCTTAGATAAGGAGTTATTGGCGTGGCTGTTGTGTAGAGGCGGTGCCCGAGGTGTTGTCTGTCACGGGTTCGAGACCTGTCGAGGAGAGGATATTTTGTTTTTGGCTGCTGTGGCTGTTGTGGAGAGACGGTGACAAGTAGCGCGGTTAGTTGCGAGCTCGATCCCTGTAATGGGAACTTATTTTATTTGATGCTACTCTTTTAATTAGTATTTTTATCTTTGATAAAGAGTTATTGGCGTGGCTGTTGTGTAGAGGCGGTGCCCGAGGTGTTGTCTGTCACGGGTTCGAGACCTGTCGAGGAGAGGATATTTTGTTTTTGGCTGCTGTGGCTGTTGAGGAGAGACGGTGACAAGTAGCGCGGTTAGTTGCGAGCTCGGTCCCTGCCATGGGAACTTATTTTATTTTATGCTACTCTTTTAATTAGTATTTTTATCTTTGATAAGGAGTTATTGGCGTGGCTGTTGTGTAGAGGCGGTGCCCGAGGTGTTGTCTGTCACGGGTTCGAGACCTGTCGAGGAGAGGATATTTTGTTTTTTTGGCCGCTGTGGTTGTTGAGTAGAGACGGCGACAAGAAGTGCGGTTAGTTGCGAGCTCGATCCCTGCCATGGGAACTTATTTTTTATGTTGTGCTACTATTTTAATTGGTATTTTTCTCTCCAAGACTCAGTTATTGGTGTGGCTGTCGTGTAGAGGTGGTGGGAGAGGTGTTGTCTGTCGCGAGTTCGAAACCTGTCGGGGAAAGGGCGTGTTGGGTGTGGCTTTTGTAATGAGTATAGAGATGTCGGCAAGTAAGTAAAGTTAGTGTCTGTCCCAGTGTCCCCCCTGTTGGGGGTTAGTAGAGGCACGGAGTAAGAGAACAAAAAAACACCTGTCAAAAAAAAGTTGACTGTTATTATTTACTTTAAATTTATTTTTGTTACTACTACTACTTAAGCGCCAGCTGAATTTGGTGTTGAAATAAGAGGGTTCAGGGTATCCCCTAGTCGGAAGCTCCCGACTAAAACCTCTTGTTTCAATTGTTTTGTGGCAATTGCGAACTAAAATGAAATATTCTGTCTGTCTGGGCTTTTGCGTATTATGTTTCACATGTGTTGCCCTTGCCCTTCAGTCTGGCAAATAAATGATGGCACGCAACCAGATCCGTTCAATTTATAATGCTACACAGATTAGCGACACACGGCCGCAGACGACACATGCCCATCCACAGAATGTACACACTGGCAGCTGGCCAAAGAGGTCCCAGGCCCACGCACTTGACTCTTGGCGCACGCACGCATCTGTGTCACAGGAGAGCCAAGGCATGTGCTCGTATATCTATCTACATATGTATATACATATTTCTATATATATCTGTATACATTCACATATATATTTGAGTTAATATAGTGCGTCAGCAGCGCGGAAGTATCTACGTCCCTAGGGTCTTGCGGAGGGTGGGGCTACGTCGCCGCGTCGCATCTTTTTTGATTTATGCGCTATTTTGCCAAAGTCTACAAATGAAAATGACACTCGACGTTTTTTAATTTTCAGTTTTTAATTTTTAATTTACCTATTTATCTCGCGTTCTCGTATTTTCAAGGCTGCTTTTAAACATTAAAAATCATGACAAACACATCGTAAAATTAGCTGAACTAAAATAAAAACAAACAAAATAAAAAAAAGAGTATGTTTCTCTCTTGCGATTGGCACCGGGAGGTCTAGATATTAACGACTACTCCCGGCTTCCTGCGGAGAAATTTATTTAATATTCCCCTAAATTCAATGTATATGTATACACTGGTACGCTCATTTGCAATATTATGGACAAACGGCGCGTGGCGGTTAGGGGTGGTTCGTTGACGTATATATATATACCTATTTCGTAAATGGTGGTGGTGTGTGTGTGTGTGGTTCTCGTTGGAGAGGATGTGTAGTAGTAGTAATCGATCGAGAAAAGAGCGTGTCTGTGTAGAGAAGGGAGAGCAAGCAACATCAGCAACATGCCAAATGGGTGGGAGCGCAGAAGATAGAGAGAGAAAGTGGAGAACCTTTAAGAACCTAGAGAGAGGAAAACACTTCAAGAGAAGTACTTACACAACACATAAGAAGATTAACAAAGAACGATATCAACACACAAGGCGGGACATTTTAAAACCGTCTTCCCATGGGTGGTTTTGAACTCACGCCTCTTGACTTGGGACAAGTCCAAGAACGACGTGCAACTCAACACCCAGCGCCAAACCACCTTCAAGTTTAGTATACTCTGCTACTGTACCACATTCAACCGATCTTTTTATAGTGCAGTTCGAATCCCGGTGAGTACAAGCCTTATATTATTTTTAAATCATAAAATTGGTTGCTATTTTTTTTTTTTTTGGTTTTTAAATAGTTACAAGTTTGAATAATAATAATTGATAACATAAGCGAATTGTAAACGCAAGATTGTGTGATAAATAATTGCAACTGATGCCAGCTATGCGTCAATCTATATGCTTGCATGTTTAGCGCCACCTATGTGTAATGGCCCAGGCATTTGTGCCTGTGCTGCCAGACTGTATAGGCGACAATGACACAACGATGGCGCTTGCAAACTGTTATACACGAACCAGCCGTTAATTTCAAAAGCAACATTTGAATTCATTTATGAAAATAGCTAACACTTCACAGCATACTTTTAGGCAGTCGAATTGACGAAAGTTCACTTAAAATAAATGTTGGCTTCGCAATGCCAGGTAATATTTGCACACATTCCAATAAGAAAAGCCAAACTTTTGTTGTAATTAAGTTGTATTTATATCGTATGTCTTTCGCTTTAATCCATCTAACTTTCATATATATATATTTATATGTTATTTGTGTATTTTTGTATATTTGCATTTCTGGTTTAAATTGTTGTTGTTGTTGTTGTTGCTGTTGTTTATAACTCGTTATTGCGCAATTCGTGTGACAATTTAGCGTAAGCTTTTAGAAAATGAGAGAGAGAGAGAGAGAGTGAGAGAGAGAAACACTTGTGTGCGCGCGCGTGTCTGTGTGTGTGTGTGTGTGTGTGATACTATTAACTAATTTGATCAAGTGTTTGTTGCATCATTAAGAGAATGTCTGCAATTGATTTGTGTCTCTGACTCAGATGCAGATGCAGATGCAGTTGCAGTTGCTGTCTTTAATTTGTATTGCATTAATTACGTGAGTGTGTGTGTGTGTGTGTGTGCGTGTGTGTTTTACCCCTGCAGAGAGAGCGAGAGAGAGAGAGAGAGAGAGAGTGTTGTAGGAATTGGTCATGAAATGTGTAATGCCTTAAAGAGAGTTCAGCTTTAAGTAAAGTGAAAATTAAAGTGAATTTTTAAGTTAAAAACTATTCGAAAAACTAAGTACATTTTGCAATAAATATATTCGATGAATAGTTTTCGTCAAATTGTGCTATAAAGATGCAATCGTGAAATTGAACGCAAGTGAATTCCGCTGAACGCGTGAAAATGTAAGTTGGACAGAAATCTCAATTGAGCTGTGGCAACAGTAACAGAATATTACAAATATATATTTCACTTTGTTCAATTTCACTTTGCAATTTCACCCTCAATTCCACGCCCAGCTCTGAAACTCTGCAAGGGTATTTGCAGTTCGGCATGGCCGAATGCTGCGCTACTCGCCTACAAATTGTGCTCGAATCGAAAGCGTGCGCTATTTACATGGATTCACGGATTCACGGATTCACGAATTTACGCGGAACACGATTCGACGACAATAAACAAAACTTGTCAATTGATATACATATATACTTATTTTTAATTACATGTACTAGAGCTAAGAAAAAAAATTGGGCAAAAAAAAAAAAACACGATATTAATTTAAGGGCAAAAAAAAAAAAAAAAACAATCAAACTCTTTTCTTAAACAATAAAAAGCCTTTTGTTGCGTGTTTTCGTTTTTGTTCAACTTTCACTTGTTTTGTTTGCAATCGATTTGAAAACTAAATTAAATCACATTTAGCATATTTTTGTTTTTTTTTTTTTCATTTTTGTTTAACGCTTTTTTTTCTTTCTGTTTTTCCTTTTTCTTTTAGCTTAAAGTTAAAATTTGCCTTTTCCTTTTTTGTTTGTTGAATAATTTAATATTTACATGAGGCGAAAAAAAAACTGGTGAATTATTTAATTAATTAATTAATGCTATTTTATATGTATGCATTAGCTGAATGCGTGTGTGTGTGTGTGTTGTGTGTGTGTGTGTTGGTGTGTGTGTGTGCCTTAGGTATATGAAAAAAAATTGTTATCGATTTAAATATTTAATTAATTTATTAGATTTATGCTTAGAAAATTAACATTGCCGAGTTGCAGCGCCGCCCCCATCTCGTTCTCCTCCTCCTTCACTTCTTCTTCTTCTCGTGCTCCTACCCCTTCAATAAGTACTTGTGTGTCCAGCCTAGAACAACACATCGATGTACATGTTTCATCTGCTGGCGCCCTCGGGCCCGCCTCCGCCTCCGCCCCCGCCGGCGACATGCTCCTGCTTGACCTTGAGCAGGAGCTGCTGATGCGACAGCGCCTCGTCCTCGTCGTCGCAGATGTCAATGTCGCCATCGGCATCCGCATCGCCATCGACATCCGCATCGCCATCGACATCCGCATCGACATCCGCATCGGGATCGACATCGGCATCGCAATCCTTGTCCATGTCCTCATCCTCATCGGGCTCCTCCTCCGGCTCGGACTCGGCAACGGAAACGGAAACGGAAACGGCGGCCGCAGCAGCCACCGCGGCAGCGGCATTGCGCGCTGCAACCGCCGCAGCGGCAGCGGCAGCGGCAACAGCTGCCTCGGCATAGCCGGCGGTGCCATGGTGGTGCATGTGCATCGCATGCTGCACCGCCGCCGCCTGCTGCTGCTGCTGTTGCTGCTGCTGCTGCTGCTGGCGTCGCTCTGCCGCCGCCGCCGCGGCCGCTGCCTGCTGCTCGGCCAGCTGCTGCTGCTGCTGCTGTTGCTGTTGTTGCTGTTGTTGCTGCTGCTGCTGCTGCTGCTGGAGCTGCTGCAGATGATGCAGATGCTGCTGCTGGTTGTACGGATGATGCTGCTGCCCCGCCTGCTGCTGCTGCGGCTGCCCCGTCGTATGCGCGCCATGATGATGATGATGATGATGATGATGCATGCCCGCGTGCATGGCCGCCGCGGCAGCGGCTGCGGCGGCAGCGTCGCCATGATGATGATGGGCCGCAGCGGCGGCAGCCGCGGCCGCATTGGCCGCGGCAATATGGGCATGGGCGTGTGCCGCATGGGCGTGCGCCGCATGGGCGTGGGCCGCATGCTTGCTCTGCTTGCCGCCGGCCGAGCCGGGCGGCGGCGGCGGCGGCGCGTCGAACAGCAGACGCGATATCGAGAAGCTGGAGATGGGCGAGTTGTGGGTGCTGCCCGCCGAGTAGGAGGTGTTCGTGTCGTCCGAGGTGGGCGTCTCCCGGTCGCTCTCGTCGCTCTTCAGCAGTTCGGCGGCCTCCAGCGACTTCTTGTGCATGCCCAGCAGCCAGGGCGCCACGGACTCGTCCTCCTTGGCCGACTTGATGATTGTCTCCGGCAGCGGCAGCGAGTGCCTCACCATCGCCCCGTACAGCCCGTACTCGGCCATTTTGGTGCTGTGGCCCCAGCATTTTTCCGTCTTGCGCCACTTGGCGCGTCGATTCTGGTACCAGACCTACAACAACAACAAGAGGAAGAAGAGGAAGAGGAAGCGTTAATAGGAGCACATTCTCGCTGCAGAGCTAGGGTATAACCGTACACAGGGTGTGCCTGTGCATTACGTTATAAATAAAGGCAAAGGCTTATACTTTTCTATTCACATTAATATACCCTGTACAGAGTGTGCCAAAAGGGTATATATGCTGTGTGAAGAAGCTAGGGTATCACCTGAGCAAAGGGCAAAAACCCCAACAACAAAGATGATGATTCCAAAAATAATATACCCTGTACATAATGTGAGCAACGGGTATATTGGCTGTGTGCTAAGTCTAGGGTATAACAGGATCATTGAACTGGTTCGATGTTCTTCAGTGTCTATATACCCTACACAGAGCATGCGTAGCGGGTATATTGGGTGTGAACAAAACGAGCTTAAAGCTTGATATACCCTGCACACAAAGTGCATGATGGGTATATTGGTTTGTGGTAAGGCATAAGATATTCAAGGCAGATATCAAAATACTCCTTCGACTCTCTCCTGCTGCATAAACATATTTGTGTATACCCTGCACAAAACATTTGTAGCGGGTATATTGACTTTGTGCAAAAGCTAGGGCATAACTGGAGCATCTGGCTTGAATTGAGCTAACCCAAAAAGAGATTGGATGTTTCTACAGAGACAAACTTCATTAGTTTTGATATACCCTATATCCAGTGTGTGAAACGGGTATATTGCTATTTAACAATGCAATACAACATTCGAAAGATCTATCAAATTATATACGATTTCTCTTCGCTCTCTCTTTCTCAATCAATATACCCTGCACACAATGTGCCCAATGGGTATATTTGCACACACTGACAAACGCCGAAACGCATCCCCAGCAGCTGCCTCATTAAAAATGATATGCATATGTTGCGCTGCTTTTTCTGCATTCGTCGTGGCATTTTCTCAGATTACGCTATCATTTTTGGGCCCGATTTCAGGCGAAATCTTTTCCGAATGCACAAAAAATAGTCGAGGTAAACAAAACAGAATCGAAAAGGGAACGCGAGTTCGGGGTTAGCGGATAATTAAAATTTGGATGGTAGCTTATGCTCATCGCATCGCTTTAATCAGTTGAGAATTTTAAGCGTTGGGCAACGAAAAATTGAATAAAACTAGTCGCAGGCAACTTTTAAAAAGGCATCTGCTTGCCTCCCCCCCTTGGGGATCCTCTCTCATAAACAAACGGCGAAAATGTCATTAGTGTAAAAGCGATAATTACGCATAAACAGAATGAAAAGTAGAAGATGCAGGGCCTGAAGCAGAGCAAATGAAGTTGGCAAGGACATGAATCGAGTGAGAAGGATGGACAGATCTTTATCCTTAGACTTATCTGTATAAATACATTGAGACAAGTGTGTGCGTGTGTGTGTGGAGTGCAGCAAAGCGGCCAAAAACTAATTAAATTAAATGCAACAACAACAGCAACAACAACAGCAACAACAGCAGCGAGTGGGGCGTGTGGGCGTGGCAGCGTCTGAGCCGATTTAGTCGAAACGCCGAAACGCCACTTGTCACGCAAACAGACTCACACCCCACCCCCCCCCCCCCCCCCTTCCGGCCACTGCCACATTGACCCCCTCCTCTATTGAGTGGCCGCCACGCCCCTTTGTGAAGTCTGGCAACGACACGCGCTGATTTTGTAGTACTTATTAGTCGAACACGAAATGTTGCCAGCAGTTTTTCCATTTTCATGCATTAAACGGTCAATTTTCAATTTCGCAGACAACTTGTGAAGTGGGCGCGTCTCAAGGGGTATCAGGTGAAGGGGCAAATGGTGGGGGGGGGGGAGGTATTCTTGTTGTTGCTGCTGCTGTGGGTCGTGTTTGTCTCCCAAGGGACAACTTAATCTTCTGTTGTGAAAAGTTCAGGATTTCCCAGGGTTGCACTCTCTCCCCCTCTCTCTCTCGCTCTCTTTCGCTCCCTCTCTCTCTCTCTCTCGCACACACACTCGCTATGGCTGCATGTGCCGCAATTCTCTGCGGACCATAAAAATAGAAGTCGACGGCGGTCGCATTAAATTTGCTTGCCACGCGGCCCGCTGTCCATGCTTAGAGAAGGTGGCCAGGCAAGAGGGGTGGGCGTTGTTTCAGTTGCTGTTGCTGTTGTTGTTGTTGTTGTTGTTGGTGTTGGTGTGATGTCAACATTTGCATTTACAGTTGTTTAGTTCTGTTTGCCGCTGCACTTGAGATGGCAACAGAAGGAACACGCGGCAAAAAAACATGGCAAATTAAATCTGCTTGAGTTGACAACACTTAACACCAAACCAACCCCCTACCCACCCCTGCACCCCCACAAGCAAGTGCAGTTGTAGCTAGTGGCAGGCGGGGAAGCGAAAGGAGAAGAGCGGGGGGGGGGGGGGTTGGGGGAAGCACTGAGCTCAATCAGTGTTGCTAATGCGTTGATAAATGACTTTTTAAAATGTGCCTAGTTCTCAGTGTTGGGCAACACTTGCCGCTGTTTGCCTGCTGCAACACTGTTCAACACGGGAGGATGTTGGGTGGGGAGGGGGGAGGGGGGGGGGGGGGGGAATTGACAAATGCTAACAAGTGCGGCACGCGGCAAGCTTTTTATATGTCATCTGTTAGTTGATTATATGGCCGATTACCCTATGAAATGAGTCCATGCAAGAGGGTAGCTCATCAAGGTCCCTGACAGGGCTATCGGTAATTCTACGGGCTATGTTTATTCTACTTCTCTACAGCGAGAGCATGCAAGAAGCCTTCGAGCGGGGCTACAGGGTATGCTCTAAATTATTGCATTTGCCAACTGTTAATACCCTGTAACGCTGCACTGCAAATGGGCTTGGCCAAAACGTGATGAAGGGAGTCCAGTGCAGGATCTAAGAAAATAATGCCAGATCTTAAAAAACTATCATTGGATCGAAATTGTGAATATTTCGTTGGATTCCCTACTTCCCTGAATGCCAACCAAGTTGACTTCCTATACAATATACGCGGTATTTGCGAGTCGTACACTTTAGATACTCCTCGCACTCCTGGCTATTATCTAACTACATTTTTTTTTTTGGTTGCATTTTTTTAATGATGCAAAAAAACGGAGAAAAAAAATGCAAATAGCAATTTGTGTAATGCTTTCGTTTCATAGCCATAACCTCTTTTGTTTAAATGTTAATTACATAATTATGCATAATCATTTTAAACAGTATTTCGCGTATGTGTGTGTGTGTGTGTGTGTGTGTGTGTGCGTGTGTGCGTGTGTTAACAGCTCATTAAAAACGCAGCAACATCAGCGGGAAATGCAAAGAAGAAGAATAGGAGAAAAAAATGCTAAAATGGAGGGGCGGGGCAGGGGCAGAGGCAGGGGCGTGCTGTGTAAAGTGTATAATTAATGTGTAAACGCGGCAAAGCAGTTAAAATTATGCAAAAAAAAAAAGAAGTAGAAGCAGAAGAATAATGCAAAACATTTGTTACACTTTTGCTGATGATTTGAGCAGGGGTTGGCCGGGACCAGGGCCTGAGCACACACACACACACACACACACACACACACGCACACACACACGGCAGGAAGTAGAGGGAGAAGATAAAGAGCCGCACAGCACGTGGAGAAAGTTAAGTCTCTCAGCGAGCGACTTTTTTCACTCTGCCTGATATCGATAACAACATATCGATAACTTTCTAAAATGCTATCGAGCATTTTCTTAAAGCTCTCGTACGGAAAACAGATACGGCTATTTGAAGAGCTTTTACTCATGGGCTGAGTGCGAATTTATAGCTGGCGTTTTTTTTTTTTTTTATTTTTTTCTCAATTTAAATCAATAATGTTGCAACTTGGCAGGTGCTTCAGTTGTTGCTAAGCTCTCGAAAATGTGTTTAAGTAAAGCGAAATTATTGGTGCTTGAGCGATTTCCCTTGAGAGTTTGCCATTGTGCCTCAGCTGGGCAATTGCAACAGGCGGTGGAGTGCATTGGCGAATGCATTTTAAATGCATTTGCAAATTGTTTGCATTGTTTTTAACGTGTTTTTTTTTTTGTATTTTCTTGTTCATTTTGGTTTTTTGTGTAGTGTACTTAAAAATGTGGACAAGAGCGTGTTGAAATTAGCAAAGAAACAATGAGCCAACACACAAATGGAGCAGCGCGGCGGAACTGAGTCAAAGTCCCGAGAGCCAATTGCAGTGTGAGCCAAACACAATGCCTGTTGTCATGCATCTGCCGTCCTTGTCGCACCAAGCCCAGGCATGGGCATAGGCACAGGCACGCATACGCATACGCACTCGCACACACACAGGCGACAAGCGAGGCGCAGCTAAACAGAGCTTGCACTTAGAAATCAGCTCAATGGGCTCTGTTAGCATGTGGCTAATCGAGTGCCAGTTAGCTGAAAACGTTGTCGCCACTATTGTCGCCTGTCAGCTTCGTTGACTTTTGACAGCGGCAAATTCGGTTGATTGTGAAACTTTTGCTGTTGCTCTGCTGCGCTGCAAACTACTCTCGCCGGCCATTGCGCGGCGTGCGTGTGAAAGAAAGAGAGAGCGCAAGCCCATTGACATGCTGCAGGCATGTGCGAGCGAGCCAAAAACACGTTTCGCCCGGCCATGCTTCTTTCTACGTTACAGCTACGTGCAAAAATAAGCTGACAGCGTCGCAGAAAAGCAATAAAAGAATAAAGAAAAATACAAAAACAAAATACAGCAGCAGCAGCAGCAGCAACAAAAACAACACATGTACAGGGGGCGAATATGCACACGCACACACACACACACACACACACGGACACATGCACAGTGAGAGCAGCAGCGGAACACATACAAAATGGAATGCAATTAAAAACGGCAGGCAAAAAAACAAAAACAATCAACGAGAGCGAACGCAGCGAGAGCGTTGCGAACTTTTAATGGTGGCTTCGATTTGTTGTTGCTGCTGCTGCTGCTGCTGCAGTTGTCTGCATGTATTTGCATGGCTGCCATTGTCGCCGCTTCCGCACCGCGTCCCCTTTACGACAGCCCCTTGAAAATTGCACTCATCGTCAGTCGCATTTCGCATTCGTATCCTTGGCTCTTGTCGTCGTGTCGCGCTGTTGCTAATGATTGCCTCCGTCGCCGAGTGCCAAGTGAGAGCCCCCTGCCCCCTTGCCCTCACTCCGCCCAGTCATTCGACAACAACAACAACAACAGCAACAACAGCAAGTCCCGCTGCCATTCCCGAACGGCATTTTTCAAGCTGTGCGCAGACTGCGCCATATTTGCACTTAATTGAAGTGCGTGCGTGTGTGTGTGTGTGTGTGTGTGTGTGTGTTTGTGTGTGCTTCGCTTTACTTGTGCGTATTACATATTTTTTTCAAGCCAATTGTGCTTGTTAATTTGATTTGCACACACACACACACACACACATAGCCATATTTACACTCACACCCCCCCCCCACTACTTGCACCCCCTGCTCTGTGAGTGGACAGGCTTCAAAGTGAACGTCAGCCATTTGGCCACCGACTACTTGTGCTTTCATTTGTTGCTGCCGAGTGCCCCCAGCCCCCCCCCCCCCCCCCCCCCCCCCCAGTGCAACCCCTCCCCTGCACAGGCGCTGTCACTGCTTTTATCATTTGCCCTCTTTACCACACCTGCGTCTCGCTCGGCGCCATCTTGCGCAGCTTGATAGGTCAAATTAAGTTTGTAGAAAGGTGGGCATGATTAGGGGGGCGTTTCTACTAGGAGATGTTGCATTAGGATTTGGAATTCTTCAATGAACTCCTCTCAATTAAATGGAAAAATCTGATATCTTGGCAAAATTGTATTTTGGAGCCTGATATATCTACCATATTCCGATTTCTCTCTGCAGGAATACTTTCATTTATAGTCTTATTAGTCCACTCACTTTTTCTCTTCTTCTTCTGCACTTCTTTTTCCGATAAGTCACATTGCTTATTGCACCATTTCTTCCCTTTTGTTATTTTCGGATCAATCTTAAGTTTATTTAAAGGTAATGTTCATAGCTTGTAACTGTTTTCCCGGTCTAGGTATATCTGTACGCGTGCATACCTCAAGAATCTTAAGAAACTATCTTCAATATTGGAAAACTTAAAGCGAACGCACATTTATATGATAAAGAGCTACAAAAATGATTAAAGTAAAGCTCTTCATATGCTTTTTTATCAGAATATTGTATTATATGATATGGGGGGGAGTCTCTCTATGAGTTTCCGAGCTGAGTTATGAAAAGGGGCAACCCCTTTGAAGAGCCTGGATTGGGCCCAGCTGCAGCTGCTGCTGCTGCTGCTGCTGTTGCTGTTGCAAGCCCATTGAAAGTGTTGCAAGGTGAAAGTGTCTGGGCTGGGCTTGCCCCTTGGGATGATTCGAGGTGTCGATCATTGTCGCATTTGCAATTTGTTTGCAATTTGCGATTTTTGGAGTGTCGGCGAGTGTCGCCTGCCACGTTTTCTTACTTCATTTGTACAGTTGTCGGCCGTGTTGCAAGAGTGTGTGCACTCGTAATTATTTAATCAGTGTGCCTCATTATGTGGCACTGCCTGTGTGTGAGTGTGTGTGTGGCAACACTTGCCAAGTGCCGCAACAACAAATCGAAGCAGCAGCCGCCTTTGATTTTGATTTCTGGCCCCGCGACGGCCATAAACCAAGAGACGAGCATCGCCAAAACTTTACTTTACGAGCGACCATAAAAACTGGACGCAAGAAGGATTTCTTGCTGCCGTGGCATGTGGCATGTGGCACGTGCCACTGCCGTGCAACGTGATACGTTGAATCGTAAAATCGATAACTCACCTGTATGCGATCCTCGGCGAGGCCCGTCTTCATCGAGAGCAGCTCCCGGGCGCTGACATCCGGATAGTGGGCCTCCTTGAAGGCCTTCTCCAGTTCCTCCAGCTGGCTGCTGGTGAATATGGTGCGTCCGTGCCGGCGCTTGTTCTTCTTCTTGCCGCCGGGCCCGGCGCCACCGGGGCCGACGAGCACATCGCCACCATGGCCGGCCAGCAGGCCGTTCGGATTGGCTGCGCCGCCAGCGCCGGCGGCGCCCAAAAATGCCGCCTCATGCGCATGATGCACATGTCCGTGGACATGGCCATGCGCATGATGCGCCGCATGGGCATGGTGTGCATGATGGGCGGCTGCCGCGGCAGCGGCATGATGATGTGCCGCCGCTGCCGCTGCCGCAGCATGCTGATGTGCCGCCAGAGCGGCATGATGATGGGCTGCCGTCGTCGGCTGGCCGCCCTGCTGATGCTGCTGCTGCTGTTGTTGTTGTTGTTGCTGCTGATGCTGCTGCTGCACATGGGCCAAGGCGACGGCAGCAGCATTGGTGGATGACGAGGCGGCCGAGGGGGAGCAGCGGCTGGCGGTGGAACCAGAGCCGGAGCCGGAGCCGGAGCCAGAGCCAGAGCCGGAGCCCGCGCTGTGGCCATTGCTGCTGGCGCCGTTGGCTGCGCCGCCCGCTTGGCCATTGCTGAGGGCCGTGGGTGAGCCGAGCAGGCCGCCCGTGTCCGAAGTTGCGGCGCCAGATTTGCTGGGCGACTGCTCATCGCCGCTGGCATTGGCCAAGCTGCTGGCATAGTCCTGGCCACGTGCGGCCGCTTGTTCTGCAGGCGAGAGAAAAGACAACAAGGGAAAGAGATGAGCACGTTTGCTGCACTGTGCCGCAGACATTCCTGGCGCTTGCTTAACATATGTCCCATGTCCCAACCAGATCGCAATCGCAATCGCAATCGCTAAACCAACTGCACAACTCAATCGCATTTCCTTAAAATGCCTGACAATAGACCATGTCAGACATGCGAGCGTTCATCCTTCAAAGGAAAAAGCAATAGAAGGAAAAAAAAAAACCTCAGCTCATGCTTATAGAAAACCTCTGCCCTGTCCCTGGGCCCCTGGGTCCTAGATTTTTCGCACACGATATGCGACAGCTGAAAATTGTTCCATGCTCGCCTGCCTTTCATTCAACAGCGCGCAGATTTTGACAAGTTGCCAGGATTTATTCAAATGTCAGCGAAGGGTTAAGCGCACGTCCTGGCAGCAACTCGACTCGACTCGACTCGACTCCTCAGTCTGGGTCTCAGTCTGGGTCTCAGTCAGCCTCAGACTCGTTCTAGTTCCAGTTCCATATTTCGTGCATGTTGCTCTTCTCCTTTTTCTCCTTCTCAGAAAAATTGCCACAAAATATTTTCTTTAGCCAGTTTTGTTTGGCTTTTCATGCTGCCTACTACCACAAAGACCTGGGCCAACGGCAAAGGGGAACTGGAACCGGGACGACGAAATCAGCAAGATGGTTTCGAGTGTGTGTGTGTGCGAGTGTGCGAGTGTGTGTGTGTGTGTGTAGTGTGTGTTATGTTTCGTGTGCGCTTTGTTTTGACAATTAGGGTGTTAGGGTGTTAAGTGGTTTAGCCCTTTTTTTTTTTCTTTTGCTTTTTTCTTTTTCTGGCTCGGCTCAGGTCTCAAATTAAACGGGAATCGGCTTAGGCGTGTCGCACGGGGCGTTCTATTGTGATTAGATGTGTGTGTCTCTCTCTCTTTCTCTGTGTGTGTGTGTGTGTGTGCATTCACAATGATGGTCTCACTTTTCACCATAAGCGAAATTAGTTTCCGGGCCACTCGCTCAATCAACTTCCGAACTGACTGCGAGAACGGGTTCAATAAATTCCTCTTGTTGTTGCCTTTCTTAAGTGTCTACTTATAAATATATTTAATATATGCTCAAAGCATTATATAGCGTATTATATGCTGCCCATAAATAGCTCTAAGCTTCGGAGGAAACTTAGCCCCTACCCCCCCCCCCCCCCCCCCCCAAGCTGGGCGGAAGGCTAATATTGTTCGCATAGAAAAGAGAATAATATTCGATATAAAAATTTTCTGCTTTTTATTAGAATATTATTTTACTTGTACAAATATTGTATTGAAGCCTGTTCGATTCCCGATTCATTTGGAATGTTTTCAGCTCCATTTTCAAACTCATCCCAGATGCTGCCTCTTCTCTCTGGCTATATATATATATATATATATACATATATATGCTTGTTCAGCAACATCTTGATCAAACTCTGCAAATATCGAACTGCTCTCTGCTCCGCGAGCCCATAAAATATATGAATACCTAATTCAATCAAGATCGAAACTCGAGTCGAAATTAGTTTTTCAGGACTTTTGTCTGGAAACTTTGCACAGTTTCGTCTGCTCTGTTGCTGGCAGCATATATGGCGGATCGGACGACTATATCATAGGGCTAGCATAGATCGAAATGGTCGAAAATTAAACTCTTTCATGGATAAATCGGAGCAGCATATTGCATGGCAAAGGTGTGATCGCTCGAAAGTAAATCTGTTTAAAGGATAAATCTATCTATAGACAGATATATATATATATATATATATGAGGCAAATATTCATACACATGCATATATATATATTTATATGTCTGTCTATATCTATATATATATCTATATATATGCCTTGAACGAGCACCTTCAACTGCTGTCTCGTTGCCTGTCACGACGCGAGAGCTTTGCTCAGTTGTCGTTGTTGTTGTTGTTGTTGTTGTTGTTGCTGCTGTTGTTGTTGCTGCTGGTTGTCATGTGGCTGTGATTGTTTTTATTGCCTGGCTACTTTGGCGGGCATAATTAGACACACATCAATTAACAATTAGCTAACGACAGCTGCCCAATGTCCAGTCCACACACTCGCACACACACACACACACACACACACTCGTAAACACTCGCACACACTCGCACACACACACTTATAAATAGCAGCACTTGTTGGCTGCGGCGGGCTGCCAGATGAGTCGAGGGTCCGCTCGCCCGGTTAGCCACTTTGGTCAGCTATCGATGTCGGCGGCAGTTGCTGTTCGCCTTGCTGGTGTTCATTCCGGACCGGTCTGCTCTCTCCCTCTCTCTCTCTCTCTCTCTCGCGCGCTCTTCCTATTTCTTTCACTCTCGCTTGTTGGCTACTAATTGAATTTGCTGCTCGGACCGTGCTGAACCGGGTCGCTTTGGTATTGCCTGGGTCTGGTCAATGAATCGGCGCCATGAGTTGCTTGATTTTCTGTCATGCGATATTTTGCGGTTTGCCTGATGGCCCCTGTCCCTGCAGACACACACACACACACACACACACACACATCCCCCCGCCTCCTCTCCCTTTATTCCTTTGCTTTGTTTCGCCCTTTGGCTTGGTTTTATGCCCAGCTTCCTGGCACTGGCCGCTCTGCCCATTTTCCAGGTTCATTTTCCGCCTAAATTAATTTGATATTGAAGTTCGCATATTTTCCGCTCTACGACTGTAATCTATACCCGGCTGACCTATCTCACCCTCTCGCCCTCCTTCTCCTCCTTCTCCTGCTCCTGTCCAGTTCTGGCCACTTCAGTGGCTCCTTTGTGCGTTTATTAAATGTTCAATTAAGCAATTTTCCTGCTAAGACTGGCTTTGTTCTCGATTCTCTTCGGTTATCGATATCTTTTTGCTATTTAATGAATTTCACATTAACTGACTGGCAATGGGCGGGGCAGGGGGTGCGGCACTCTCTTAATGGGATAATTTGCCAATTTGTTAAACGACAGTCGATGGATGAGGCGAGGCGAGGCGAGGCAAGTCTCAAGTAACCGTCCATTTACATATAAAAACAACTATCGATAATTGCTTTGATAAGTGTCGAGCAGCGAGAAGCCTGGATGGGATCTAGTTCTTTCAGCTGAAGGAGGAGCTGTTAGCTGACTATTTGAACATTTATTTAGTTGCAAGAGCATTCGTTCATTGTTAATCAGATTTTGAATGCAAAGCAACGATAACTATTCCAATTAGCTTAAGTACGGATTCGATGCAAATTGAAGCAGGCGAATTCAGACGAATGGAATAATTGGTTTAAAGTAATATCGATAGCTTTTGCATACTCGATAAACATATCATGACTTTCATAAGCGATCGATATAAATACGATTTTTGGCACACGTTTTGTGAATACCGTTATATAACTGACAACACGCCCACTACTATCGATAACTATCGCAGCGACATTTATTTTATTTATTATATTCTTTCTCTCAGCTTTCTTTCGATAACTATCGATACATCATGTACTCACAGCTGGTACACAATTTGTCGAGCAGCTCCCTAACGTTCCACGGCACTTTCGCATTCTATCGATAACTATCGCATAGACCTATTACTGCATCCATTGATAATATTCTGTTTTCCGCTGTTGTTCGATATTTGTCGATAACTACAGCATGTACTCATAGCTGGTATACAAGTTGTCGCCCTAATGCTGACATCGATATTTATCGATAACCATTGTAACATTCAATACACATTGCACACAATCTGTCGCTCTCTTCTCAATTACATTTACGAGTAGCTACCCACAATGCCGCTTGATATTGGCCTTGCTACTCGCATTTGTCAGTCCAAATGGCAGCCAAGGCAACTAGACCCCAAACCGCCCCACAACCGCCCCCTTTCTACCAAGGCAATTCTGCAGCAAACGTGCCACAAAGCTGCGCCTAGTTGCGAGCGAGTCGTTTATAGAGAGACGCAATGTAAAATTACCAATAAAGTCAAATTGAAATTGCCAGACATATTAATAAAAGCCGCCACCCGGAAGGCCGCATGGTGGAGGCACAGGCTGGGCTGAGCTGCCAAGTAGATGCCCTCGCCGGTTTTGGCATTGCGTAGACAACGACAATTTGCCGAATGAGCCGCACGGGTGCCACCAAAAAACCCAAACTAGACCAAACGAGTGCAGGAGGGGCTGAACGAGCTGAACAAAAAATAAAATGAAATAAAATCAAATAATATAAAACGCGATGCCTTGCGCCAGAGTTTCTCTTAGCAATTCTCTGCGGCGATATTTTTGCTTTTAATTTTATTTCACTGAATACCTTGAGGGGCATGGAAGGGGCGCGAGAAAGGGCGGGAGCGGGGGTGGTAAAGTGGTAGCGAGACGCCATGAAGGAAATTTCTGTTGACAGGAAATACACTCGAAATTGGCAATTTTGCATTTACGTTAATAATACTCGAGCGTATTTACTACTTACGTAGAGAGAAGCGTGGCGTAGGGGCGACTGCCGAGGGGCGAGGTTGGTTAAGGAGGGTGTGGGCGTTGCCAAGCTGCCGGCTGCTTTTGCTGTCTAGGCAAAATGGGGCCACATTTGTAGCTGCTGCCAGTTCTGCGTATTTTTATTTGCGCCAAGGCAAACGAGATGCTCGGCGGTAGCTAGGGGTTGGGGCACGTTGGTGGGGCGCGTTGGAGGCTGGTGGCAACTGGTAGCCAAGCATCGCTGAGCCAATATGACGCGCAATTATTTGTAATGGAGACGTAAATAAGTTGAAGAAGCAAAGTGGCAAAAACGACAAAGTGGGCAAAGGCAAATGTTTTTCGGTGGTGCTTGGCAGCAGCAGCAGCAGTGGGTGGTGGTGGGGGTGGGCGTTCGGTGGGGTTGGGGGCATTGCGTCTGGCGGGTGGTTTAGTTCCAAGTTGTTACACAAGCCCAAAAGCTGTCTTTTTTGGGGGTGGCTTGCGGCATGGTGGTTGCTGCTTGCTGCCTTTCTCTTTGCTAGGGGGGTGGTCGCTGCTGCTGCGGGAGACAATT